AGTCCCTTTTTTTCAGCGTCATCGTAACTTCAAATGGTCACTAAACAAACTGTTGTAAGACGAGGACCACCTGTATGGCATTCTCACAGCTTGCAGGCACAATTCCTAGTACAGAAAGTACTTTGAATTCACGACGGTGCTAAAACAGGGATTTGCAACCGATCCTCACCCTTACAACCCCTGGCAGCGTCCCCGTGGTCACATGATCCAAATTCCGATCTTGGCAACCGACTCATATATATGACGGTCGCAGTGTCCCAGGGGGATCACATGATCCCCTTTTGCGACTTTTTGGCAAGCAAAGTCCAGGGGGGGGGGATCCGGATTCATTTAACGACCCTGTTACTAACTGAAAAAAAAAAACTGCAGCGATTCATTTAACAACTTGGACGAGAAAGGTTCGTAAAATGGGGCAAAATTCACTTCACCAACCTCTCACTTGGCTGACAGAAAGGTTGGGCCCGGTTGTGCTTATAAGTCGAGGACTTGCATGTACCCCATTAGGCAGACTCGCTGAATTTTCAGCCGGTCACAAAATGAGTCTGGAAATAAGAAGCAACATGGTATAATTGAAGCGTGTTTCTCTCACAGGGCTGAGTAATTCTCACTTGGAGTGTCACTCATTAGGTAATTGGAACATTACCTTCACACTTCGTGCAATTACTCACAAATGAGGATCTTAACTCCGAAGTGGAAAAATGGTCATTAATTCCTTATTTTTACCTCAGGACTGCTGTCCTTTTAAAATGTTTTTTTGAGCATCCTTCCAGACCTACGTCAAATAACAATGTTCTTTTTCTCGAGACTGTTCCGTTTATATTTTTTTAAAAAATTGGTTTTATTCAATTTTTATATTCCTTATTGTAGTGACTGAGGGAGGCCCACCACAATTGAAAGCCCAGGGTCACAGGAACAATAAATACCGACAATAAATACCAGGAGGGGAGATTTTTCCACAGGGCAAAGCCTTGTCATTTTTTTTTTTTTTTTGGGTCATTTCTTTTCTTCTGCCAAAATCAGAAAGAAAACGACATTTTCTTAGCCGGTAGCTAGCGGCTAAGCCAGGCAGTTCTTAGTGAGTTTTGCCCCATTTTACGACCTTTCTGGCTGTTAAGTGAATCACTGCAGTTGTTAAGTGAGTAACACGGCCGTTAAGCGAATCTGACTTCCCCCATTGCTTGTCAGAAGGTCACAAAATGGGGATCACATAAGCCGCAGGACTCAGTTGCCAAGCATCCCAATTTTGATCACGTGCTGCGACGGTCGTTAAGTGTGAAAAACGGTCCTAAGTCACTTTTTTTTCCGGCGCTGTTGTAGCTTCGAACAGTCGTTAAACGAACTGTCATAAGTCTAGGACGATTTGCCGTCTTTCCCATTATGGATGACCTGAAAGGATGCTGCTTTTTTCCCCCCTGTTGAAAACAGGATCTGCTTTGCAACTTGGCCAAACTTCAATTGGAGGAATGACATCCTTGCACATTTGCTTGAGTTGTTCCTCTCCAGAGTCGCAGACTTGGAAGGGACCTTGGAGGTCATCTAGTCCAACCCCCTGCCCAAGCAGGAAATTCTATACCATTCCGGACAAATGGCGGTCCGGTCTCTTTTTTTAAAAGCCTCCAGTGATGGAGCGCCCACAAGTTCTGGTGGCAAGTCGTTCCGCTGGTTAATTCTTCCTCCCTGTCAGGAAGTTTCTCCTTAGTTCTAAATTGTTTCTCTCCTTGATTTGTTTCCATCCTTGTTGCTCCTTGTCCTGCCTTCCGCTGCTGCTTTGGAGAATAGGGTTCTTTTTAATTAGAAGAACATGAAAAATAAAAACTCGCTAACACGCTTTATGATCAGCCGGCGTTATTTTTAATTGCAAGAATCCTATTGGGCCCAGCCAAGGTCTCGGAGGTCTTCCATGGAAATGGAACATTGGTTGTGGATGTTTGCCCACTGTCCAAGAAAAAGACACGTTAATCCATCTTGCAGGAGGAATGGCAATTTCCCCCCTATGCTGGCTGGGGAATTCTGAGACTTGAAGTTTACAAGTCTTTGTATGTATGTATGTATGTATGTATGTATGTATGTATGTATGTGTATGTATGTATATATGTAGGTCTTTGGTTATTCGGGTTTTCTCCCGCGTAAAATTGGAAGTGTCTTGGCGACATTTCGACGAAGTCCCATTCATCATCTTCAGGCTGGTGTTTTCAGCTTTGTGCTTCGTCATCTTCAGGCTGGTGTTTTCGGCTTCATCCTAGAAGCACGAAGCCGAAAACACCAGCCTGAAGATGACGAATGAGACTTCGTCGAAACGTCGCCAAGACACTTCCAATTTTACGCGGGAGAAAACCCGAATAACCAAAGACCTACATACAAATACCTGCGAAAACCTCAGAAAACAAGTATGTATGTATGTATATATATTATTAATTTTTATAGGACTAGGAATAGGGTGGGGTCAGGGTTAGGGTTGGGGTTGGGATTAGGGTTAGGATTTTTTAAAATAACATTCTTTTTTATTATTTAAAAAGTTTTATTAACAATTAACAGAATAAACCCACTAACCCACCCATCCCCACCCTCCCACACACACACCCCCCCACTTCCCAGAGCCAAGTACAGGGTTATTACAAACATATTAAACATAATCTAATTAAATTCAACAAATAGGTTAAACATAATCTAATTAAATTTAACAATTTATACAACAACTAAATTCTTACTTAATCCTTAACTCCCTTTAAACCTTAATAACATATTACAAACAAATCCATTTTTAAACAATTATTATAAAAAACCATAACAGTAAATAAACTAAATAATTCCAATTATAAAATACTATTAATAATACTTATTATATTAAAATTTAATCATATAATAAATGGAACTTTTTAGTTCCATATTTAATCTGAATATAATCTATCCATCTTCTCCATACCATAATATATCTTTCTTGTGTGTGATCCTTTAAATAAGCAGAAATTTTAGCCATTTCTGCTAAATTAGAAACCTTAAGTATCCATTCTTCTATTGTAGGCAATGAATCTTTCTTCCAATATTGACTTATCAATAGCCTTGCTGCTGTAATTAAATTCAACATTAAAATAGTTTCTTTGACATCAAAATCCTCAAAAATCCCTAATAAAAATAGTTGAGGAGTAAACTTTATCTTCCTTTTAAAAATATTCTGAATGTTCCACCAAATCATAATCCAAAAAGCCTTAATATTTTTACAAGTCCACCAAACATGAAAATAAGTTGCATCAGAACTACCACATCTCCAACATTTGGGCTGTAAGTTAGAGTACATACAGGACAACTTTTTAGGATCCAAATGCCACCTATAAAGCATTTTATAAAAAATTTCCCTTAAATTTTGAGCCTGTGTAAATTTAACATTTCTAATCCAAATTATCTCCCATAAATCCAATGGGATCGGTTCCTGGATATTCTGAGCCCATTTAACCATATAATCTTTAACCAATTCCGTTTCCGAATCCAATTCTATTAACACATTATAAATTCTTTTTATGTGAGCCTTATTCTGATCTTTAATCTGAATTACCAAATTTTCATCTCCTAATGTTATTCCAACTTTCTTATCTAAAGTCCACCTATCCACTATTTGTAAAATAACATTCTTAACATTTAGCAAGCAGCATGTTGCCTGGGTTCGTGTATTTAAAAAAACAATGAATAATAATTATCATAAATAATATGTTAATCTCTCAATAGTCTTCTTCTTACTATTATATTATGTGTTACATATCACATTCCTTTCTCTCTAAGTCGTCCTTCTAGCCATTCATAAAAATTATCCCATGTTCTAAAATACACCGAATCTTCTTTCTCTTTTATCTTTAAAGCTGTTCTTTCCATTTCTGCACACTCTAAAATTTTCTTAATTTGTTCTTCTTCAGTTGGTGAATTTTCATTTTTCAGTGTTGGGCAAATACAATTCTTGTTGCAGTTAGTACACGTAAAATTAAATACATACAGTCTTTCTCATAATTTGCTCCTGTCTTTCCTAACAAAAATAATTCGAAGTTCACGAGTCTTTTTTTTAATAATATTTTATTAATTTTCCAATTTTACATTTGAGTATTTAAAAAGCAACGTGGTGACTGGGTTAACCAATAGTTCAATAACAAAATCTTTAGTGCAAACCTCAGGTTACAACATCAGATATTTCTTCTCTTTTTCCCCTTAACATTTACTGTCTCGTATTCAAGCTAGTGCATTTCTAATTATATGAACTCAATAAAAACATCATTATTACATTTATCAATAAATTTTTAGCTTATACATATCTTAATCACATTCAGTCTTCATAAACAATCCATATCCTGTTATTAATTTTTCCATAATTTTTAACTTCTCATCGATATTCCAATTTAACCTTTGATAGCCATAATTTTCAGATCTTGGGTAACCCAAGATTTCCCTTATCTTACTTCATAACAAACTATGATGTTCAAAATACACATTATTATCTGTTTAAATATAATTTGGTTCTGTTTCCTAAAAGTTATCTATTTCCCACTGTATTAAGTCATCTACTTAATAATACAATATCCCCTTTGGTGTTTGTACGTAGGTCTTTGGTTATTCGGGTTTTCTCCCGCGTCAAATTGGAAGTGTCTTGGCGACGTTTCGACGAACTCTCATTCGTCATCTTCAGACTGGTGTTTTCGGCTTCGTGCTTCTAGGAAGCACGTGTTCCTAGAAGCATGAAGCCGAAAACACCAGGCTGAAGATGACGAATGGGACTTCGTCGAAACGTCGCCAAGACACTTCCAATTTTATGCGGGAGAAAACCCAAATAACAAAAGACACACACACACACACACACACACACTGCCTGGGTTAATCAATAAGTCAAACAGATTCGTGATCATTAATTTTCTTTTCCCCTCTAGACCTAATTTTTCAATATTAGACAAATCTAATCCTTGATGGATTTCTTGATGAATGGAGCGGGAAATGGGCAATAATGAATACTTCTCACCTGGCAGGTTACCTGAAGTGCGATACGGACGATGGCTGTGACAACAAAGAGGAGGTGGGAGGCGAAGAACTCTTTGACACGGTCAACTCCTCCATCGTGTCGGGCGAGAGCATCCGGTTCTTCGTGAACGTCAACTTGGACGTTCAACAGAACGTCGCAGGTAAGGAAGGACGCTTTCCCACGAAACCTCAGCCGGGTGTTCTGGGGCTTCGACAGCTCGTGCTGTGGGTGCCTTGGTGGGTTTCTGGCAGACGTTTGACGACCCAACTAGCTTACGTCATCAGTGCTGGAAGGGAGTGGGGTTGGCAGAGGGAAGGAGGAAGGAAGACTTGGGAGGTCTTCGATGCTCTCTCAGCTGGGTGGCTTTCTTGCTGATGTTTCACGACCCAGCTAGGTAACGTCTTCAGTGCTAGGAGGAGAGGGGTTTGCAGGGAGGAGGAGGAGGAGGACTGTGGGATCCTTGGTGAACTCTGAGCTTGGTGGCTTTCTTAGAGACGTCTCATTACCCACGTATGGGTTGTTTTCTTGCAGATGTGTCATGACCCAACTAGGTAACGTCATCAGTGGTAGAAGGGAATGGGGTTTGCCAAAAGGAGGAGGAGGAGGAGGAGGAGGAGGAGGAGGAGCAGGACTGTGGGGTCCCTGGTGCTGTTTGAGCTGGGTGGTTTTCTTGCAGATGTTTCACGACCCAACTAGGTAACATCTTCAGTGCTAGAAAGAGAGGGGTTTGCAGGGAGGAGGAGGAGAATGACTGGGGTCCTCTGTGCTTTCTGAACTTGGTGGTTTTCTTGCAGATGTTTTCCATTAGCCATCTAGGTAATGTCATCAGTGCTAGAAAGGAATGAGGTTTGCCAAAAGGAGGAGGAGGAGGATTGTGGGGTCCTTGGTGCTCTCTGAGCTGGGTTGTTTTCTTGTAGATGTTTCATGACCCAACTAGGTAACATCATCAGTCCTAGAAAGGAGTGGGGTGTGCAGGGAGGAGGAGGACGACGACGACTTTGGAGTCTTTGATGCTCTCTGAGCTGGGTGGCTTTCTTGCAGACGTCTCATGCCCCAACTAGGTAACATCATCAGTGCTAGAAGGGATGGGGTGTGTGGGGAATAGGACAAGGAGGAGGAGGACTGTGGAGTCCTTGGTGCTCTCTGAGCTGGGTGGCTTTCTTGCAGACGTCTCATGACCCAACTAGATAACATCATCAGTACTAGAAGGGTGTGAGATTGAGGGGAGGAGGAGGACTATGGGGTCTTTGGTGCTCTCTGAGCTGGGTGGTTTTCTTGTAGACGTTTCATGACCCAACTAGGTAACATCTTCAATGCTAGGAGGAGAGGGGTTTGCAGGGAGGAGGAGGAGTGAGGAGGAGGACTGTGGGGTCCTTGGTGAACTCTTGGTGGCTTTCTTAGAGACGTCTCATTACCCACGTATGTAATATCATCAGTGCTAGGAGGATGTCGGGCTTGTACTTTGTTCATATACAATGCCTGTCAGTGTTGGTGGGAGTGTGGTTTTCTTCTCCCTAGTTCCTTGATTTAGTGCTTGAATGTTTGTCTGGCGTTAACCCCTGCTAATCTGGGTTTTGGCTGCTGGAGAGGATATGTTGCGGTCTGTTTGTTTCTACCTTCGGTTTTTATCCTTTTTCCACGGTTTGTAAATTGTGGCTGGTCCCAAGTTACAAACATTCTCTTCTAAATGGTTTGTTCCACAGAATGTAGCAGGTTTCGTGCTAAATTAGCCAATCTATACTCTGATTTACATTAAGCCATGGTTTGTCTCACCGTGCTTGATCGGGTGTCCCTATTGGCACAGCTCCCATTCAGTCAAATTCGGGTAGATTTGCGACCCGCCTCCAGCCCTTAGACTTCACCGCGCACCCATAAAAGTAAAGCAAGGCAGATTATGACTAGTTCATAATTCTCATTAAACCGTGTTTCCTTTGGGCAACTGCCGTAAATCCAAAGGGATCCCATCCAAGTAGCAGAGTCTGGCCAGGTTATCTTTAGCAAGATTTATTGCAGGGAACTGGAGTGAGTCTGTCAAAATTCCAGCAGATTTCCCATTTGTAAGCAATTTGACTGGAGGCTGGAAATTTTTCTTTTGGTCATCTGCTAAGGAGAAAGTTTGCGGATTTTTTTTTTTATCAGTGTGGGAATTGGCTCATAGGATAGGGTTACATGGGAATGCACTTGTGATTATAGGCTAAAACATATAAGGGACGGTTGCTGGAATTGGGGATGTCTAGTTTAATGAAGAGAAGGACGAGGGGGGACAGGATAGCAGTCTTCCAGTATCTCAGGGGTTGCCCCAAAGAAGAGGGAGTCAAGCTATTCCCCAAAGCGCCTGAAGGCCGGACAAGAAGCAACGGATGGAAACTCATCAAGGAGAGAAGCAACCTAGAACTAAGGAGAAACTTACTGGCAGTGAGAACAATTAATCAGTGGAACCACCTGCCTCCAGAAGCGGTGAATGTTCCAACACTGGAAGTTTTTAAGAAAAGACTGGACAGCCATTTGTCTGGAATGGTTTAGGGTTTCCTGCCTGAGCAGGGGGTTGGACTAGATGACCCCCAAGGTCCCTTCCAACATTATTATTATTATTATGACCTGGATTTGAAGTTCTGACATTCCTCCTCGCCTTGAAGTGAGTGACGCGACCACATTTTGGGCCCTCGGCAGCTGGCCTGCATTTACACACCATTGTGTAATCCCTGTGGTGACATGACCTCCACATGTACCTCCGTTTCCTGGTAAAACCCTCCCCACCGCAAGCAATTAACTTGCTTAATGACTGCGTCGTTCACTCAACAGTCACCGTGAAAAGGATCGTAAAGCTGACACGGTGTGGTGATCCGCTTTGTGACTGTCACAATTCAGGACCCAAATTGCAAGCCTCAATTGTAAGCCATGTCAGGACTACAGATTATCCTCAATTTACAGCCATTCGTTTAGTGACCGTTTGAAGTTACGACAGCAGTGAAAAAAGGGACCTAGGACCGTTTTTCCCACTTAACGACCGTTGCAAACACCCCGTGGGTCACGTGATCGAGATTCACAACTGACTCCAATATCTCAGGGGCTGCCCCAAAGAAAAGGGAATCAAGCTATTCTCCAAAGCACCTGAAGGCAGGACAAGAAGCAACGGATAGAAATTCATCAAGGAGAGAAGCAACCTGGAACTAAGGAGAAATTTCCTGACAGTTAGAACAATTAGCCAGTGGAACAATCTGCCTCCAGAAACTGAATGCTCCAACATTGGAAGTTTTTAAGAAGAGACTGGACAGCCATTTGTCTGAAATGGTATAGGGTTTCCTGCCCGAGCAGGGGGTTGGACTGGATGACTTCCAAGGTCCCTTCCAACTTTACTATTATTATTATTAAATAGTTCATTTAGTGACGTACGGTCCACATTTCCACCCAAGATTGCAAGTTCAAAACTGCAAGTTCAATTCTGGCTGAAAGTCAAGGACTATAGCGTGTCCACGGTTTACAACGGTTCGTTTAGTGACTGTTCAAAGTTACAATGGGTCTGAAAAAAAGTGACTTCGTGACTGTTTTTCACAGTTAACAACCTCACGATTATGGAATTGAAATTCAGACATTTGGCAAAGTGGTTCATATTTATGACGGTGTGCAGTGTCCCGGGGTCATGCAATCCTGTTTTGTGACTTTCTCACAAGCAAAGTCAGTGGGGAAGCCAGATTCACTTAACAACCGGGCTACTAAGTTATCAACTGCAGGGTGTCAATGCTGCTAACGTCGGATGTTTTGCACTGACAAAACATCTTTTTCCCTTTTGCTTTTAGAGTTAAATGATGCTGGGGGGGGATGTGAACGGAGAGTCCAGCTAGACATAACAACACTGAACCTAGAGTGAGAATCAAGGTTATTGTAACCAGAGCTGATAAGGAATTGGCGGCTGGAGAACTGGAGAGGAAGCCTGGGCTTCAAGCTAATTGGAGAATGTGATTTATAACTGTTAATTGGAGGAGGGAATTGTGCTTTGATACTAGGTGCCCAGGGGAGGGGAATTCAGTTTTTGGCTTTGATTATGTAGTGCCGATATTATGCTACTTGAATAAAAGATTCTTTAAGGTAAACAATGCCTCAAAGTTCTTTAAAAGAGTTTCCTTTGTCGGAACCATGACAACAGGATTCACTTAAGAACCGCGGCAGGAAAGGTCCTATAATGGGGCAAAACTCACTTAACCGGTGTGTCACTTAATGACAGAAATTTTGGGCTCAATTGTGGTCATATGTATACTATACTATACCTGTACCTTGCTCAGTAGTAGTAACTGTGAGAGGGATCTTGGAGTCGTAGTGGACAACTCCTAGCTGGAAGGGGAAAGATGGTCAGATGCCGGTTGGGGATGATGGAAATTGTGACCCAACAGTTCTAGAAGACACCTGATTGCAGAAGGCGGGTCCTCACGTTCTTTTCAGTGCACGGATCTCCACCATCCTCAAAGTTCATTCTGTGGAACTTTTTTTTTCCAGCTCTGGATTGTACATCCAGGGATACAATGAGTGGAGTAGAGTTGTTAACGCATTGCCTTTTCAACTGGCCAGCACGCAGGTAGTCCTCAACGTACGACCAGAATTTGGCCCAAAATCTCTGTCGCTAAGCATGGCAATTATGCAAGGGAGCCTTGCCCCGCTTACGATCTTTCCTGCCGCACAATTGTTAAGTTGAATCCCTGTCGTTGTTAACTTAGTAACAGGGTTGTTAATTTGAATCTGGCTTCCCCACTGAGGTTTCTACTCAGGAAGTCGCAAAAAGGAGGGGGGTCATGTGACCCCAGGGACGCTGCAACGTCCATAAAAACGAGTCGGTTGCTGAGTGTCTGAATCTTGATCATGTGACCGCAGGGACACTGCCAACCGTCATAAAAACGAGTCGGTTGCCAAGCGTCTGAGTCTTGATCATGTGACCGCGGGGACACTGCAACCGCCATAAAAATGAGTTGGTTGTTGAGCGTCTGAGTCTTGATCATGTGACCGCGGGGACACTGCCAACCGTCAAAAAAACGAGTCGGTTGTCGAGCGTCTGAGTCTTGATCATGTGACCGCGGGGACACTGCCAATCGTCATAAAAATGAGTCAGTTGCCGAGCATCTGACTCTTGATCATGTGACCGCGGGGACACTGCAACCGCCATAAAAATGA